CAGCATCAGCGCTTGCGAATTAACATGCGCCCTAATCTCAACACTCGCACGCAATGTGGCGCAAGCCGCACGATCACTGAAGGAGGGCCGATGGGATCGAAACTATATTCCGGATACGAGTTGTCCGGCAAACCCTTGCGATCCTCGGGATGGGACGCATAGGTCGCGAAGTGGCCCGGAGGATGCAGAGCTTCGGCATGAACATCATTGCCTTTGACCCGATCTTGAAGTCCGAGGTCGCCGCCGAGCTCGGCATCAGGAAGCTCAACTTGGAGGAAATATGGCCCATCGCTGATTACATCACCGTTCACACGCCACTTATACCTCAAACCAGAAGTATGTATCTATTAATGTGAAATAAAAGACCTCGAATAAAACAAAAAAAAATTGCGCAAATAAAATTTCGCATTTGTATCAACAAGCGGAATACTAATTAAAAGCGTTGACTTCGATACACTTTTTCTATCTAAAAAGAAATTCAATTTCCTTCTTAGAAAATTTTATTTGGAAGGAAACTTAACTGAGAAAGACAAATTTTTGGCAACAATCTGTCGATATAAAAATGTTATAAGAAATTAAAATCAAAATATAAAATAATAAAAAATAATGATATTTAATTATAATATGCATTATGCATTATAAGTTATGTATGGGTAATCGAATTTTATAAAAATTGTTTATCAGATTCTTTTTAAAGAATTCATTATAAAGAAGCTTAACATTCTTTATTTCAAACAAATTATACGTAATTATAATAAATAATAATAATTAAGAATAATTAGGCAAAGCAATACTTTGTGTCATTTATGAGCCATGTATTCCTAATCGTACGTCACTTGCAGATTTAATCAATGCAACGACCTTGGCAAAATGCAAGAAAGGAGTATACATCGTTAATGTCGCTCGTGGCGGCATCGTTGATGAGGAAGCTCTCTTGAATTCATTGAAATCTGGCCATTGTGGCGGAGCAGCTTTGGATGTCTTCATCGAAGAGCCGCCGAAGAATCCAATCACTTTGGAGCTCATTAAACATCCGAAAGTCATCCCGACACCTCATCTCGGTATATATATTTCCTTTTTAATTTATATACTGCAAAAAAAGAGAATCAAGTTCAAGTATTCAATGTTTTCAATCGACAACATTATTTCAACATCGATGTTTTGCCCCTTCGTATTTTATTATCTTATTTGAATACCGCAGTCAAATGTTTGGCATACTTTTTTTATTACATCATCTTCCAACTTTAAATACTTCAAACGGGAAAAAAATAGAGATATAATGATTTGTTTGATTGTAGGTGCCAGCACGGCGGAAGCTCAGCAACGAGTCGCGGTGGAAATTGCCCAGCAATTCCTGGCTCTGTCCGGCAAATCGACGGAATATGCCGTCACCGGCATCGTGAACGCTCCGGTGTTATCTGCCGCCATGACAATCGAAAACGAACCATGGATAGAATTGTCGAAGAAATTGGGTCAATTGGCCGGTCGTTTCCTCAAGGGCAAGTTAAACACAGTCATTCACAGCCAGACCGTGGGAAACGGCATGCAGGACAAACAATTCATACACACGGCTGTTTTGGTCGGCATATTAACTGGCCAGACAAAGAACGGTCTGAATCTGGTTAACGCACCCACCCTAGCGCAAGATATTGGCGTGAATCTGCAAGAAGGTCACATCGAGGATGACAATAAAGCGGTCCTCGTCAAAGTTGGAGAACATGTCATCAAAGGTAATATCGTACTATTATTATCGTAAAGAAATTAAATTTCAACGCGAAAGATTTGGAAAATAATAAGAACTTGAAAAATTTTCCTGCATAATTATTAAGAATTAAAATAAAAAGATACATTTATTATTAGATTAAATATTGTATTACTGATATTACCGTGTGTACAGGAACTGTGCGCGATAACCAGTCGCTGTTGCTCGCTCTGGATGACGCCGTTTTCACAAATGGCATTGTACTCAGGGATCATATCTGCCTGTACCGCGCGAACAGAGTGCAGGATCTCGCCAGCATCGTGAACGTTTTCTCGTCGAAGGGTATCAACATTCACAACTTGAACGCCAATGGCAATTGGGTCATCATTCAAACTGATCAGGAGGTCTCGATTCAAGTGGACGAAATTGAGAGCTTTTGAACGCGACCGCATGATGATGATGACAACAAATGATCCTTGAAATGAGAAGAGAAATGTGGAAGCCCAAATTTTGAAGAATCCAGTATTGTCCAGTTGCTAGAAATACGCGGGGAGCTCTTATGCTACTCTAGAATGTATCTTTTTAATTATATAAATCTCCATTTGTAATATCATTATTTATTATCTGATTATCAAGGTAGATGATTAGAAGCGATGTAAATCGATATTAATAATGTAGGCTATAAGTATTTTTTAGTAAGGAAACGAATATATATATTGATATAAAATATTCTCGTTAGAATGATATAATTAATCATTAGATAAGTTGCACTTTTTACAGACACACATAGAAAAAACATGTAAAAAAAGGTATATAAAACATGTCTATATAGATATTTATATTTTTGTATTATTAGAGAGTTGTTAATAAAACATCACATTATCAAATCACCATTTGCCATGTCGTTACTGACTGTACAAGGGTCTAAAAGCATAAATGAATAATTTGTTGTATAAAAAGGATAAGAACTATTCTAATTGTAGAAAAAGCTAATCTCATACCCACGTGGTTCATCAGTGTTAGCAAAAATGGTTTATAAAAATATATTTATAGAGAATTACTTGAAAAATAGTATATTCGTGATCGACTTTAGCATTTAGGCCCTTGCAGTGTCAAAATATACTGTTCTACAAACATATATAATTTATATTAGCTTACATGATATACGATTGCTTTTATCATCATTTTTTATGTTGGACTGTACTTTGTAATAAGCACGCATCCAATATCCAAAAAGATCAATGATCTTTTTGATGTATAATCGATATTTTCTAAGTTTTCATTCCTCAGTAATCATTGTACAGCTCGCAATAACAATTACAAATATAGAAACTAATTTTGCATGAAATTAAATTAAATGTCTAATGATTTATAAAAAGGTAACATTGGCACGTGACATAGCATAATGGAGTATCACATTTTTCAATGTATATACATTGCGCTTACTAAAATGACAGATAATCATAGCAACAAAAATATCAGCATTAGAGATATAGTACAAATAAATTGGTCACTGTTTCACTAAGTTAATATATATCACAAAATATGTTATTATAAACTCTACAGATAAGTATGCAAAATCTTATAGTGATATAAATAGGAATAGGAATAGAAAAAATATTTGCAATACAAATAAACTACTTATAATACACTAAATTGCAGTCACGTTGCGCGCTTAATAAATATAAATCGAACCATTTGAACAAATTATTATATTCTTTCGTAAGTGTTCCCTCGACAACAACCGAAGACAAAGACAACGCCATCCTGCAAAAAGATAACATCAATTGATCAAGTAGAACAACAGCTATTATCATCTTATCAGAAACATTACTTTGACTAGCGATGGAAGTGTGCTCCAAAAATCAAGATTGGGTATCATTTCCCAGCCTGTTGCTCCCCTTAATGTTTTCAGTATTATAATACCACCAAAGAAATATAAGCCAGTAAAAGTGAAGAACAAGATAACCAAGACAGAACCTGTAGATAATCCTTTGGTTTCTGACTTTGGTATTATTTTACATCCATATGGTGATCTCAGTGTAAATTCATACTGCAAATATTATTAATTAATTTGCATTATATGTTCTATTGTAACAATAAGCAGTATTATCGCTATTTTCATACTTACTTCTTTAGAATTAATAGGTGGCTCTATTCCAAAATAAGTTTCTTTATCTGAATGACACACAATCTTTATTATCGACTTAATACCTCCATGTTGCATTTCAAAGACTGGATATTTGTTTGAATCTAACAATTTTAGTTTGGTCTCTTCTATAGTTCCAAAATTTAGTGTCTCATTTTTATTCTTATTCTTAAGAATTCTAAAATCATACATACATAGCTGCAAGAATATATTTAATTAAGAACAATGTACAAGATACTTGTGTTGCAAACAAATAAATAATCAAACAATATATCTGCTAAGATTTAGTTCATCAAAATTGTCTCATATCTTACCGATACTCCAGTTCCGTTAGAACATGTTGTATCGTTGTCCTCGTTCACTTTTATTTTTCTATTTGTGCATGGATGAAAATATGCTGTCAGGTTATACTTAGTATCCGTTAATGGTCTGAAAATTAATCGATTATTTAATGATTTAATATTTTATCATACATTATTTTATGAAGTATTTGATATATTTCAGATAAAGGTTAAAAAATATAAATATATCAAATATTGAATATTTAAATATTAAAGATACGAACAATGCTATAACGATGTAAATATTTAACTATACCAAAGTTGCAAAAGCGCCAAAAGTTCTATAATATTGTATATAAAATCTATAAAGTTAAAAATTTTAGGCATTATTTGTTTAATTAATTCTACGCGAGTTTTCTTGTAAATTATAGATTATACTAATATTCTTTCTTTCTTTCTCTTTAGACAGTTCATACGACGCAGAAATAAAAGAAAATCAGACACAGAGGTTAATAGCTTGTGGTCTACCAACTCTGAACTAGCGAGGGCGATCAAATTGTAATAAGAACCGTCCGGCAGCGAACAAAAGCAAGGCATCAATTGCGTGCATTCTGATGACGTCGTATCGCAGAATAATATCAGAAATAACGAAAGTACGGTAAACGTCGCACCACGACAGCACATCTTTCCCACTTTTATTTTCATTGACACACTCACTTCTATTCCGTCATCTGTATTTCTCTTAACATTTCGACGAATAGGAAAACGATCACGATGACGTTTGTGCGAACTAGACGCCGCACGCTATTCGTCAAAACAGAAGATAGAAAATATCGAATAGAGAGTTCGAGAATTTAATAAGTGAATTTAATACCAATTCCTATATGATCATATTTTCAAAATTAAAAGCTTTGCGAATAATTTTAAGGTTGATAATTAAAATTGATAATTCCAACGATCAGTAAAGTTATCTATTTATTTTATCGACTGATTCTCAATCTAATTATTATCACCGATGAGATATTAATTTACGTAATCTTATCATGTTAGATTATTATTATATTTAATTTTACAAAAATCTTACAATCCATCTTCCTATATGGTCAATTTTTCAATCATAATCAAAATAATTTAATCATGTTTTTATGATATATTATTTACCATTATTACCCATTAATAGATTTCAGTAAATATTAATTCGTCTTAAGGATGTTTAAAAGATGTTTTAAAGTTCTGGGGACGTAAAAATTAAAAAATAATAAAACAAAAAGATGTTTTTAAGTGATCTGAGTGTCGGTCCACAATAAATATTTAATCTTTAAGCCGTAAGAAATTAACCAAACATAGTCGAGTATTTTTTTCATATTCGATTATAATTGATCAATTTCTTACTTCTTAAAGCTTAAATCACCTATTGTGGACCGACACTGACGTTTCAATTTTAGATATTTTAAAAGAGTTTCTTTTAGACATTTCATATATATATGACATTTAACATATATACATTAGTTTTATTGTCATGCGTAGTCATGCAGAGATTATGGGTCTTTAATAATATCTCATTGTTGTTTATACATAATTATACATTTTATGTTCTTATATGAAACATTTTTTGTCGAATACTTTGAACAAGGGAGAATTTCGCGGACGATCCTCGGTGCCGGTCACGGCGACGCGTCATTTCCGGCCTGTCGCGATTGGCGCGCCGCGAGTTCCGGCGCGGCGACGGCGAATACGCGTCCGGCGCATTTTCTTCTGCGCTAGCGCAAAACGCGATTACCGCTGCCGCCGCCACAGTCGTCGTCATCATCATCGTCGTCGCCGCCGCCGTCGCACGCGCGAAGGATGCCGATGACTGTCAACGCGGAAATCGGCAAGCACGTATCGCCATTTTGTCCGCGCGCGCATCGTTGGCGTATCAGTGCCGATAATCTCGCGGTGCAACGAGTGTCGGAGATTGGACCGCGCCAGGAGGCGTCGACGAAAGGTAAATAACACTGGATAAACCCGGCTTGTCGCGGGGATAGCGTCGACGATTCGCGGCGACGTCGCGGTCCCTCGTACGACCTCGGACGTTCACGCATGAACCGAAGAACCGTGCGTACGAACACGCGACGAGGATGCGCGTGTGTCGAGGACACGCGAGATGAAGCGACAAGAGAGAGAGAGAGAGAGAGAGAGGAAGGAAGAGAGG